TTTTCTAAGCTATCAAACGGACCCTTAAATATTTCGTCCAAATGTCTGAAGTTTTAAAGGAAACACGTTGACTTTAATTATACTTCTATTTTAACATGTACTTTTTTATTAATGTGTAATACGTAACACTTGTCTGTGAATCGACCATGCATTTTGAACCATCCCCGTCTAAAAAACTAAACTATTAAGAGAAAGAACGCATATTTATGTTATCTCTTGAGCATAATGGAGTAGGGGATTACGTATCTACTTGTGTCTTCCATTTGTATTTGATGAATCTTGTATATGTATCGTAATCATATTTCATGTGTGCGCGCATATATATACACACACAAACATATTCATGCTTACACAAATTGTGAGTTCATGCATGCAAGAGATATTATTGAACTTGGAACTTAATGTGCAATTGGAAGTAGCAAGGTTTGTATCTTTGATGAACGAAGCCAGTTAAAATTGAAACTGTATAAATAAAATACTGATATAGGTGGTTGAGAGAGAGAGCTATGAAAGCTTCTATGCATTAGATAACCTTGTTAAGTTACAAATTTCTCCTTGTAATCTTTATTACAAAGGTTGTACAAGGACCCTGATGCCAAGAGAGAAGATTTTCNAATTATTGTGTATTAAATTAAAAGCTATTAATTTTGGTTAAACCCGTTTAAAGTGATCTAATAATGTTTCGGTATTTTGAGTTTAGAAGTATTTAGTTAAAGTGTGGATCTTTATGTGTAAAAACCAGGTCTGTTCCTAATTTCATGATAGGTCAAATTAGATTAACATGTCGTTAGTACATATATACGGTTATGGTCTCCGGATCACACGGTGATTGTTCATTCTGTTCTGACTCCCATCATCAGAGAGAAAAAGAGACAACGTGTTGATCTGGAAAAATAAAACCGCAGGATTCATTCATTGACCATGTCTGATTCAGGTACGCTTCCGCTTTGATTCATAATTTTTTGGTGATTCAACTTGAAAGATCATTATGACTGTAACCATTTTTTTTCCTTACAGTTAGTGCCAAGATTCTTAATTACCTCGGAAGGTTCCTGCAAAGAATAAGTTGCATTCGTGTCTTTTGGCATCTTTGAAACTAGAATTCCGAACCCTTGACCTCTTTCTCTTATAACCTGATTATAAGCAACCATAAGTTGATGAAATAGAAAAGGGAAAATTACGAAAAAGAACCAGAGTTTTGAATACCTTAAAGGCATCTTCATCTGTTCGATCATCTCCAATGTAAACAGGAAAAACATTGGTGCAATTTGCATATCCTATAGAGGAAGCATATCCATGTTAAGGATTATAACATAAAGTTGTTTAGAGCTTTTCAATGTTGACAGCCGACAGATTCCAAAAAATAAAAGAAAAAGTAAACTCACCAAGTGATTCTAATAGAAATTCAAGGGCTTTGCCTTTGTCCCATTTAATAGTTGGACGAATTTCTAAAACCTGCATTTTTTAACAAATATTTATATTATAGTAACATAAGTAACACTGAACAGCATGCAGATATTACAAGCTGAAAATAACAAATGAAGATTCCGCAGAGTGATATGTCAAACTCACACCTTTCTTCCTTGGGTTAATCGAAGCTTTGGATACTCCTTCAGTACTGTTCTAACTTGCTGTGCTAATTCACTCCATTTCTGTAATTTTATACAGTTTAAATTAATTACACAGTCCTTATTTTATAAAGATTCAGTAGGAAAAAAATATTAATACTTTTTAAAGAAGCCACTTAACCATATC